TTAGCCATAAAACTATCTAACTACAGTAAAACCACAATAATCTGGAACCCTCAGGGAGTGGGTTATTCAGGATAGCCAAGTTTTTAAGAATAACTTTGACTATTTGTGATGGAAACCTATTTAAACGGTATCATAACTTTCCCTTTTATCTTGAAAATAGTAGGCCATCTCATTGAACTTTGATAATAACTCACAGTCACCAGTAAGAATTGACTCTATAACTCAGCTCTCATTATAGACTTAGGCGTTTTGTTTTAGTTTTTTAATTTTCATTGGCATTTCTTAAAATAGTTCTGTTTCTTCAGTTGCTGTCATTTATATTCTCACTGGCTCCAGCTGTAGTCCTCCCTCTGCCCTTCAAATTGCTTCTTTTTGCTTCTGTGGACTTGGAGACCAGGTAATAGAGCTTATTAGAATACAGGGTGGGGCAAAAGTTGTTCACATGGAAAATAATACAATAATCTCTATATATAAAAGCCTAAGCGACCGTTACAACTGGTCATCAGGACGACCGGTTGCTATGATGTGCACTGACCACCAGGAGGCAGATGCTCAATGCAGGAGCTGCCCTCTGGTAGCCAGTGTGCTCCCACAGCGGGAGCACTGCTCAGCCAGAAGCCAGGCTCATGCCTGGCGAGCGCAGCTGCAGCGGTGGGAGCCTCTCCCGTTGCCATGGCAGTGCTACCGAGCAGCAGTGGGTGGGGATGAGCGGGAGCAGCTAGGGCTCCTCCCTGGCCGCCTGCCACTTCGTGCACTGCTACATCCCTCGGGGGATGTCAGACTGCTGGTTCTGCCAGCTGAGGGGTCCCGGATTGTGAGAGGGCACAGGCCAGGCCGAGGGACCCACTGGTGCACGAATCCGTGCACCGGGCCTCTAGTTAATAAATAAGAATGCAAGAATAAACTCTGTGTTTCGCATACTCACAATGGTAAACCTATTGTTTTGGAATAAATTATGATTCATTTCTGAATACAAACAATATCTGTACGACATGTATCCAAAGCATAGGTTTCCTTTACTTTTACTTTTAGATTTTAGAATATAACTGTCCTTTGGGCTGGGAAAAAATAGTCTGTGGCAAAAATAATTTGCAAACTGGATTTAATATTTCTTATAACCATTTTATGGCTTTTTGTATTAATATTTTTATTGATAAGGTCATATTAAGCCACTGATTTTGAAAGCCTATTAAGATATTACATTCCATATAAAGCAAGATTTAAATAAACTTATAGATGAATATTTTGATTTGTGTGTGTGTATTTGCTTCTTGAGAAGTCAACCCAACCCCAAATTCTAAAATGTTCTCATTATTCAGTTTGATTTTAAAAGTCAGAAGTTTAGGCTGATTTGCTTATATTAACAGACTAGCACTATCGAGTTAATCCTCTAATTAGGAGACATTTCTCAAAGATGTTACTAAAAACCTTAGAAATACTAAAGGTTTAAGTCCTGAAAATTGGTGTGGAGATACATTTTCCCTATTATTTCTGCCCTCTCTCCCGGAGTGATTCGTTTCACTTCCTGTGCCTTATTCCCTGAGCCATACTGCTTTTGCCGAGATTCCTGAGGCAGTGAAACCTGTTTAGGGGATCATCTTGGTTAGGAAGACAGCTGCCCAAAAGGCATTCCGTTTCTGAGCGTGGCTTTCAGATTACGGCCAATGGAGACTCGGAGCTGTAGAACACCTGTCAGAGACGCTTTTTTTTTTCTACAAGGAGATGGTCTCTTTCATCAGATTTCATTGCACTTCAGGAAAAGATTCATTTTAAAATGTGGGTAAAGTGGCATCTGCTCTTAGGATTCATCCTCACCCTCCTTTTAAAGGGGGAAGCCAGTTTAAGAGCTTATTTATGACATGGTTCTGTGGTCGAGGGAGAACCTGCAGCGAAGTGCTTCCAAAGGAAGGACTTTCCCAGATGTTTGGTTTGTCACTTTCTGTTGCGAAAGAAATCTAAAAATTTAATTGTGAACTTTTTACCTGAGTATAATCAACGGTAGGAATTCTTGCGGCAGACTTAAAGTGTTTAAGCTAACATTGTGCACGCACGTCATGAATGAAACCTGCGAAACTTTCCTGTTGAAATCTGTGGCATTTATCTGTGAACAATGGAGGGGATTATTGATGCTGACTGGTGTGTAGAGAAACTGCTCTCAACTTTCAACTCGGCGCTCATTAGAAGCGCCGTAAAGTACATACGACACAGGTACTTTCTCACATCTGCAAACTACACTGAGGAGAACTGTTAGAGGACAAACTTCATTTCGCAGACGGTAACTTCACGGTGTAACAGCGCGCAGACCGGAATATCAGTTAATTTTCAAAACATTTTATTCCACACCAATTAGCTCGGGTCCTGGAGGGCAAAACGACAAGAGGTTACTCGTTCGCTATGTATTTAGTTAATTGAAAATCGCTCAGATTGCTTTTACAGTTGTTATTAAAAAGTAGAATCAGTGTTGCCAGTGCTCAACCATAATTGGAACCCCGGGGAATTAAATATTTAGCATTAGTAATGTAACAGCACTTAGGACACAAATTTCTATTTTCGTAATGAAAGCTATACACTGTGAGTGCAAGCGGCTGAAACGACAGCTGTGACAAGTGAAACGGCCTGGGATATTTCAATAAGACACCTCATTGGACAGCGAGTCTCACCACATTACTCGTTTGTAAGAGATCTGCAAGTTTAATTCCCAGTAGAAACCCGTTACCCAAGTATTTAGATTTCTAATTGCATGCAGGATGAACAGTTGGGCAAATGTCTTGCCTTAAGTGGCTGAAATGTATAGTGCTTTCCAAATAATCCTCTATAAGTTCATGCCTTTGTCAATTTAAAAATAGCGGCACTGTCAGGGAAGAAAGTTCTTGTTTGTTTTAAGTTTAATTACAGCTTAAGCATAAATGCGTTCAGCGTTACCATGAGGAGCGTTGGATATGGGGCTCTAACGAGCTGCAGGGGTAGACGGCTGGAGACCCTAAGGGATTCCCTCCGTAAATTAACTGGATAAAAGCACTTGGTTAGGATATACTGGTAGTTGATGGCTGAGCTGTTCTTAAAACCCAGTTATAGAGCTGTCTCTCACTCCTGTTTTCATTCTAAACAGCCCTGCCGGGGCTCTAACAGCCGCCTGTTACAACTGTTCAGCTTGTCAAAATGTATTATATTACTCCACTAATAAACAGTATGAAAGGGTATTTGACTTCATTTCTCGTGTTCAGAGGGGATCGGGTTGATCAACACAACTGGCTTAGGTTGGCCTTAGTTTAATTTGTTTATGTCATCTAAGTAATATGGAAGGGCCATGATTTGAATTTTTAAAACGTTCTTTCTCTTGGGGATGTAAAACTTTCGAAATAGTGTGAACAATGGGAACAGTTAATGGAGGCTATGTATTGTCATCTTTGTCCTGGGAAGATGGATGACTTGGACATTCTTAGCCCGCACTCCAAGTATTTGGAAAACCATAGCTAAACAGACATTCTTCAAAGCATAACTTAGGCTAATTCCTTTACCAATCGTTCTCTCTTCCCTTGGAAGAAAACACTTGCAGAACAAATTGACTTCATAATTCTCTTTTGCTCACCATTGTTTCTGTGTCAGTTTTGTGGGAATTTATTCTAACTGATCAAGATTTCCTTTCTGTTTTGTCATTTTTTGAACAATACGCGCGTACATGAATAGAGAAAAGAAAACTGTAGATGTTTATTTGATAAACTCTCCCTTTTACCTTGCTGCTCCATCCCACTTTCCTTTACTAACAATTTGATGAGACCAAACATTCGTAACATTTTTGTGCGTATCATACAGCTACATATGTGCAGACATTAAATGCATATAGCATATTGAAAGATCATGCTTTGGATCATTCCCTAGAAGCGTGAGACTTGCTTTCCCCCACACCTAATTTATCATAGACATCTTCCTATATTGGTGCTCAGATCTTTCTCATTCTTTTTTTTTTTAAAATATACTTTATTGATTTTTTACCGAGAGGAAGGGAGAGGGATAGAGAGTTAGAAACATCAATGAGAGAGAAACATCGATCAGCTGCCTCCTGCACACTCCCCACTGGGGATGTGCCCACAACCAAGGTACATGCCCTTGACCGGAATCGAACCTGGGACCCTTGAGTCCGCAGGCCGATGCTCTATCCACTGAGCCAAACCGGTTAGGGCCTTCCTCATTCTTTTTAATAGCTAATTGTCATTCCAAATTTTGGAGATAAAAATTAATTTCTCTGTTGCCTACTGATGTCATTTAAAGTCATCTCTAATTTTTTGCTGTGGTGAATAAATGTTACAATGAACTTCTGAGTGTGCCTACGTGTGTGTGTTTTCAGCATGTATGTGTGCATTTTTGTGCACGTGTCATAATCATATATGGAACTAACATGTATAGAGTGACTCCTTTGTGCCGGGCAATATCCAAAGCACTCTACATATATGTGTGGTGTGAAGAAAAGGTCAACCCTTTTATTTTCCAGTAATGCCCACAGATTCATTTTGCAGATTGTCCATGTTTTGTCTCCGTGGTTTAAAACATAATCTTTGTCACATGTGATACCCCCCCCATACATGCCATGTCTTTAGAATATTCCATTTGTCTAATCCTGCAGTGTCACACTTGTTTGCCTAATAGCATAAATGCAAGTTTAAATCTTTAAAATTAAAAAGAACCTACAAAATACTCTTAATCTCAAATTATAAAGCGTGACAAATTTATATTAACAAACGGCAATAGTTTAGAAGCATAGAAAGTTGCAGTAAGCAGGGATGACCACGTCCTAATTCCTGTGAATAAGCTCCATTCCACAGAGAAGGAAATTCGGGGTGCAGGTGGGATTAAAGTCACCAATCAGTTGACCTTAAAATAGGGAGATGAACCCGGATGAGCCAGGTAGGCCCAGTGCAATCCCAGATGTGCAAGAGGGGGCAGGAGAGCCAGAGCGAGGCCACGGGAGAGCCCACTGAGCCTTGCTCTCGCTGGCCTTGCAGCCAGGGAACGGAGGCCTGCGCCGAGGCTTGCGGCCACCACTGGTCACGGGACAAGGCGAGAGACAGACTCTCCCCTGCGGCCCGGAGGGATCAGAGCTCCGCGGACACCCCGACTTTTGCCCAGTGAGACCCAATGTGGACTTCTGACCTAGAGGACTGGAAGGTAATCATTTTTTTGTTGTTGAAATTGTCACGTTTGTGGCAATTTATTACAGCAGCGATGGATCACGAATGCAAAGGTGAAAGGTAAACATTTCCCAATTTCTGCTGCCCTCTCTAGACCCCTAGTCCAGGTCCAGCCCCAGCAGGTTGTAACTCTGCACAGCGCTGGCGTGTTTCCTCGGTGGGGGGAGGGTCATCTGCAGAACGGTGACTGTGGAGATTTTTATAGTATGTTTTGCTATCTGTTAAGTCCTCTTTCTTTTTCTTCTGAAGAAATTTTAAGTTTTCACGCATTTGCTTTTTCAGGTGAACATTTATTGACTCAGTTGCGTTTCTTATTTATTGTTGTTTGTTTGTTTGTTTGTTTTATACATAGCTAAAGAATGGAGCCACCTTGGACAATCTATTGAGATTTCCTTTGTAGTCGCCGTTAACTTTTGTAAACATTCCCTTGTATGCTTAAAAAGAAAATGGATTTCCTCCTTCGGAAAATTGCTTGCTAATTGTGTTTCCCAGTACTCACTACCTTATTTTCATATACAGTGGGGCCGTACTTCACCTGTCGGTTTCTGAGAACAGAACTGTGGCTTTCGGAAGTCCTCTCGGATTTTCAATAATTTGTTTGTAGATTTTGATGCTTTGTTTTTTCGTGGAGTAAACGTTTTGTTTTACTGTCTCTTCCTGGTGGGTTTTGCCGTTACTTGGTCTCTTCCTCCAGGCCTCAGCCTAACTCTCCCCTCCTGAGAGGGTCCCTCCTGGTTCTCCAGTTCCTCTGCCGTTCTCACCTCGCCTGCTCTCTAGGCTGCAGGCTCCGCCCCCCACCACTCTTCACTCCAAGCCTGGCACCTGCTTGATAGATACCTGCAGCATGAACCAGACTAACCAAAGCAGGGCTCGGGGGTCCTAGACTAGAGGGAGCTCTTTCCTGTGCATGTGCTGCCCGGAGGAAGCCGCTGTCAGAGCACCTGTGTCGCCTTGAAATGGGCCGGATTCCTCCCCTTTATGGAGGACTGAGGTTGGGATCCGTGCGCAGAGGCCGATCCCGGCTGCTCCTCGGTCCCCCCACATCTGTGTTCCAGCTGTGCTGACGTCAGCCCTGTCCCTTGGGGAGCAAAGCGTGCAGATCAGCGCGCTGGGGTTGAAAGTTAATAATGTTAATCAGGGGAGGTCCCTTTGATGGAACATTCGCGAGGTGCCAGGCACCACGCTTCCTGTGTTAACTTGCACCATCTCACTTCTTTCCCAGAAGGACGGGGAGTCCCTGTGATGCCCATTTTCACACGCGAGGAAACGGAGGCTCCGAGAAGATGGGTCCATGGGATTCAGGGATGAGAGAACGAGGACCTGTACCCGGTCTGCCTGACGCCGGAGCTTCTGCGGTGAAGTCATGCTCTTCGGGTTCCTGTGGTGCCTCCTCCCTCTCCACCCAGCATCGCAGAATCACTGGCTGGAGCCCTGACCTCAGAGGAAGACACGATCACAGAGGCCACCTGTCCGGCCGGACGCTGGTGGCCCTGAGAGAGCAGGAGCCTGGCGCGGGCAGCCACCGATCATCTTGCAGTCGATCCCTCGAGTGGAGCAGTCGGACTCGGATCTGCAGCTCACAGGCAGAGAGGAGCAGGAGAGCTGGCCCGGGTCGGCTTTGGCAAATGCACACGGCCCTTCGTCCACGGATGAAGGAAGCCATCCTCTGGAGTAACTTAAATAAGCACAGCGCCTGGCCCGAGAAAGACACCGTGGGGGCCTCCTCGGACATATATTTCCTCTGACTTATGGTGAATGTGAAACACCTAATATTTTAGCGGCCAGCTTCCCCAATCCCCTGTGCCACCCGGCTTTGAGTTCAATGCAGCTCTCTGGCAGCCCGAGATCGCAGACTCGTGGGACAGGGTGGAATAAACATCAGGACGCGGTTCCAAGATTTACTGCCCCGTACACATTTTGGACTAAAATCACAAGACATTTCTCCCCACCCGCTCCCCAAGTTCATCTACCCTGTTCCTGGGGTTTGAAAAGATTTGAGGGCGAGGGAAGTGCCATTAAAGCAAGTAGTGGATTTCACATCCTGGTGATGTTTGTGTAGCTGCCACATGTGGCCCAGTGTTAAGTAGCTGAACATTACTGCTCGCAGCCGCCAAAGTCAGCCCTCACCTCCTAGGGAGGTGACTTCAAACAGCATTTCAAGGGCGCAGAGGGGAGGAGACGAGAGGGGGTTACCGCTCAGGATGCAGGAATTCACTCTCCCTGTCTGTGCTTTCTGCTTGTTAGAGCCATTCGGGAGCCGGAAGTGCAGAGGAATTTGAAGGGTGCCTTCAGATAAGGCGCTGGAAACCCCGATATTTGCATGAGAGCTGGCGTTCTCCGAGCAGCGACGTCTTTTAAAGCATAACTAAAGGTAATTTTCAGTTGGGAAGGCTCCCAGATCAGGAGTGCAAGGGATGCTGAATCAGGGAGGAGAAGCCTTGCTGTGAATAAAAGCTCACCTCTGCATTTCTCAGGACAAAAGCAGCCACTTGGAGTGTCTCCCGCAGCACACCGGTTCTGCTGGGGCAGGACGAGCCCGCCTGAGGAGGCTGCTCACAACGCATGCGCAACTCGTCAGTGACAAACCCGCCCTGTGCAGAGCTGGGAGGCCTGAATGAGGCTGGGAGAAATAGAAGCTGGCTGGACACGCCGACCTGGGGAGCCCTCACGGAGGCTAGCCTATTGAATTTTTTCTTTTTTTTTTTCCTTTGCCTGGTAGACTTTCTCAGAGCTTGAAGAGTTCTTGAAGGTCTTCCAGATAGCTTTCTGTATTGAAAATAAACCAATATACTCGTTATTTTGTTCTACTGCATATGTTGAATGAAAACTTAAAGTAATATAATAATTGATTTTTTTTTAAATTTGCACACTTTGGGCAGAATTTCTTGCACAGCGCAATACGTTACTACCACATGAGCCCACCTTACTCCGACCAATTTAATAGACATAGCGCCATCTGTTAGATTAAATGAACGGTAATAGACTGATTTTCTGTTTTTCAATGTAATCAGTCAACAAGTATTCATTGCTTGGCCCAGTGCGTAAGGAACGCTGCTAGGCACTGCGGGGCCCCACGTGTTTGGGTGTTTGGGAGGAAATGACTAACTGAGACCATTGTTGTGCTTTCTCTGCACAGGGATACACACTGAGTCCCGATGATTGGGGAGGGGGGGTGGGAGGGGGGGCCCTCTCGGGGCACCTGAGCTTGGAGTGTGCAGAGCCGGGCTGAGTCGGTCTCTCTGTCACTCTGCTTTCTGTCTCGCTCCCCTTCCTAACCCATGGGGTGGACTGTGGTTGGAACTGAGCTGTGGGTTTCTCTGTGTGAAGCTAATTGGCCCATTTGGGGCTTTGACCCAGATTCCTAACTTCTTAGCACCTTTCTTTAGACAACTGGGCTGGTGCTTTGGATGCGAATGCTAATTGTCAAGTTATTTTGTTCTACTGCATATGTTGAATGAAAACTTAAAGTAATATAATAATTGATTTTTTTTTAAATTTGCACACTTTGGGCAGAATTTTTTGCACAGCGCAATATGTTACTGCCACATGAGCCCACCCTACTCCGACCGATTTAATAGACATAGCGTCCTCTGTTAGATTAAATGAACGGTAATAGACTGATTTTTGTGTTAAAATGTAATCAGTCAACAAGTATTCACTGCTCGGCCCAGTGCGTAAGGGACGCTGCTAGGCACTGCGGGGCCCCACGTGTTTGGGAGGAAATGACTAACCGAGACCATTGTTGTGCTTTCTTTGCACAGGGATACACACGGAGTCCTGATTATTGGAGGGGGGGGCGGGGGGGCCCTCTCAGGGCACCTGAGCTTGGAGTGTGCAGAGCCGGGCTGAGTCGGTCTCTCTGTCACTCTGCTTTCTGTCTCGCTCCCCTTCCTAACCCATGGTGTGGACTGTGGTTGGAACTGAGCTGTGGGTTTCTCTGTGTGAAGCTAATTGGCCCATTTGGGGCTTTGACCCAGATTCCTAACTTCTTAGCACCTTTCTTTAGACAACTGGGCTGGTGCTTTGGATAGTGTGCAGAGCCGGGCTGAGTCGGTCTCTCTGTCACTCTGCTTTCTGTCTCGCTCCCCTTCCTAACCCATGGTGTGGACTGTGGTTGGAACTGAGCTGTGGGTTTCTCTGTGTGAAGCTAATTGGCCCATTTGGGGCTTTGACCCAGATTCCTAACTTCTTAGCACCTTTCTTTAGACAACTGGGCTGGTGCTTTGGATGCGAATGCTAATTGTCAATCAGGAGGAAAGGCTTTCTCCAGTCCCCCCTCCCCCCACCCCAGGGGGTTGGGGGGGGGCGTTCACTGGCTGCTGCATCCGCACGGCACCCACTCACCAGCCTGGGGGTGCTGGTCCGCACCGCACCCGCTCACCAGCCTGGGAGTGCTGGTCCGCACCGCACCCGCTCACCAGCCTGGGAGTGCTGGTCCGCACCGCACCCGCTCACCAGCCTGGGAGTGCTGGTCCGCACCGCACCCGCTCACCAGCCTGGGAGTGCTGGTCCGCACCGCACCCACTCACCAGCCTGGGAGTGCTGGTCCTCGGGGTTGACTCCCAGCTGGGCACGATGGGCCAGCCTGTCCCCTGTCACATTGCAGAGAACAGCTCGTGAGCAACAAGTCCCTCCCCCCGCCCCTGACCCAGCCTCCTCCAGGATACTATGCATTTTTCCGGGCTTACACAGCACCTAGAGATTGCAAAGCCATCCATGCGCCTATATAGCCACAAACCTATTCGGTAGCAACCGAAAGGCGTCCATCACCATGATGTGACTTTAGAACCCCAGCCGCCACACACAGTCATAATCTATAAAGTACGGGGGTTGGGGCTTCAGCACACACACTTGGCGCGGGGGACACGAGTCGGCTCATAACTGTCGAGGCTTCACAGTTTTGGAATTGAAGATGCCGTCCTCATCTCCATGTCAGACCGACAGGTTCCCAGAAGCCGATTCGTTTGCTGATGACCTTCACGCAGCGAGCCTCGCACACCCTTCACATGCTCTGTGTCTCCTGCCCGGCCGTGCGTGTCACAGGTATGTCGTTTATGGAGTGAATTTTATTTGTTTATTTATTTTTAAAAAATATATTTTATTGATTTTTTACAGAGAGGAAGGGAGAGGGATAGAGAGTTAGAAACATCGATGAGAGAGAAACATCGATCAGCTGCCTCCTGCACACCCCCTACTGGGGATGTGCCTGCAACCCAGGTACATGCCCTTGACCGGAATCGAACCTGAGACCTTTCAGTCCGCAGGCCGATGCTCTATCCACTGAGCCAAACCGGTCAGGGCAATGGAGTGAATTTTAAAAGGCGCATTGAAATTCTAGATTCCTTTCACAGGAGGTGTATGTATCGACATTGTTAATGGAGCTTCTGCTACTTACCCGCTGTGTGACCTCAAGCAGGTTACTCCACCTCTCTGGCCCTTGGTTTTCTGATCTATAAAATGGGGATGTTAATAGTACCTGCCTGAGAGGGCTATTGTGAGGAAGATGTGAGCTCATCGCTGTCTTTCATGCTTGACCAGGAACAAGGTGCCTGCATTATACAACCAACTGGCAAATGGAATAAAGTCTTTAGAATAAATCTGTACACAGCAGGTCTTCAACATGTGTTCATAGCTATCTTTGTAGTGTTCTGAGAAGAATGCATTTTCATAACGTGACCAAGGGGTTGTTATCATTCCGTTTTAACATTTGAAATTGTTCTTACGTGCTGGTTGTTTGGGTCTGTAGGTTATCATAGTTAAGTATTATCATTTTCAGGGTGTTCTGTCATTTTACGTTGGCCACGTGTCAGAGGCTGGTGTCATGTCAGAAGTGGTTTCATTCCCTGGCTGTGCGTTACAAATGTGACAGCACCGAGAATCGGAGCAACACTACCTGCTCTCAACACATGTTAGGTTTCCTTGGAGTTGGGTGACATGCTGAGCTGTTGTAGCAGCTGGACAATTTGCTGGGGAGAACCCTGCAAGTCTAAAGAAGACTCTCGATATTAACAACCACAAAACCTAAAGGAAGGCGCATCCTGCGAAGGAGTTTTGCTGATTTGGGGCGGGATGGGGGCGGGGTGAAGGCCACCTCTGGGGTCTAGGCCTTCCCAATGTTTCTCTCACCCCTCCTGTGAGGTACTCTACCCTGTGCTGTAGCAGCGGAACACTTGATAGCACAGTCAAACGGTGATTTTTAAAAATACAGTGACTGAACGTTTAAACATGTATTCTCTGTCCCGTGCCTACCCCTCCACAATGTGCTGGATGAGTCTGGGAATATTGGGGTAAAAGGAAAGCGATTCCGGAAGACATGGTGAGCTCTGGGACACGCTTGACTTCTTCAGGAGGAGAGAATCAGAAATTTGAATGAAGACATTAAAATTCTCCGAGGTAGCTGTAAATAGTTTATGATAGAGTTTTCAACTGCTTTGTAGGACACGGATCACCAGACTCGTAAGCGTTCACAGCTATGAAACTTAAACTGTGAAGGAAAACCCCGTCCTCTGAGTGACAGAGCTTCTCAAAACCTTGGTGTGCAGATGAGTCACCCGGGGACCTTGTTAGAATGCAAATTCCCATTCGGTTGGGGGCTGGGGCAGCAGGACTGGGATCTGCATTCCTAACCAGCTGCCTTTCCTCAGACCCCAGGGGAGCCGGGATCTAAAACACACAGCTCCTGGGCATTCCCCCTGTGTTCCCTTCTTTCCTGCTCTGGGCACATGATCTGATAGTACCTCTGTGTGCACATGCACATGCTTTGTATATGTATATGCCTTTCGAGGCCTGCTTCCTAAACCATTAATTGAGAAAGAGGCCATTGTTACAGAAAGCACAACGAACTTCATGAAAAACCATTGGGCACAAAGGCAAAGCATTGACAAATTGGTACTTTCTTGCTTGGTCACGCCTGATTTAAGAAAATGAACCCAAAATGGGTTTTCAGAATTGGAAATTGACTTCAAGCCCATTTAAATCGTTCCCCTTCAGCATATTAGCAGTGGAGTGCATAAACCAATATTTATTTTCCAATCAAAGGTTTGCAGCAGATGAATGAAAGAGATGAGGGAAGAATGCTTTGAAATGTTTCTAGTGCCAGACATGGAAATAGGATATTTTATTTCTTTAAGTGGCAGGCACAGGCCTCACCTACTAGTGAAATCTATCCTGCCCCGGGAAGAGGAAATGGTCTGAAAAACTGACCATTGTATAAAAGCCCAAGGCCAGCGCCTCACCGCCAGCGATCACAATACGTATTCTTCAGCGGGAAAAAGTCGAAGATCCAGCTACGTTCGGGGAGAACCTATTCACAGAATAACTGTATAGGGAAGGCCCCTTAAGAAAAGCTCCCCAAATTCCATTATCTGGACTGTCACTCGCCACTCGGGGTTGTCTTGGCGCTGTGTGTTCTCATGAATTACCCGGGCTGTTTGTTTTTCCTTTATCAGTCATCACCCTGTCAGCTGGGCCATTCATAACAACTTTTGGCAGCTCATCAGGGGAGTTCAGAGCTTGAATAAGGACCCTATCAACTCTCACACCTCATTGTGTGAAGCTGTTTACCCGCCTTGCCTTTTTCTGTAAATATTACAAGCCGTTCCCTGAAAGGAGAGACATGTGAAAGCAAAATGGCCTAACGGCCTAGCAGTTGGCCGGCATGGTGGATCTGGGCTGGCCCGAGGGCTGGCAAGTCCTGGGGTTTCGTTTATTTGCCTGAAGGGTACCTCGCCGCTGGTCCTCGCCTCCCATGGACTCTGGTTAATTAGGCAGTGTTTAATCTGCCTTAACATTTGTGTC